ATATGCGCAGAAATGTCCACAGCGCTTTCTGGTGGATTTACAAGGAAATGACAAAACCTGCCCCTGTAATGTATTTAAGATTGTCAAAAATGTACACAGCGCCCTCTAGTGGTTTTGTAAAAACTGCAAGACAAAGTATTCCAAGGTAAATATTTGCCAGTTCTCAAAAATGTTGTCATTGGCACATATTTTCAATGAGCCTGGGTTGGACAGATTGAGCCAATAGCATTTTTAAAGAGATAGTTCTACCCAAAAATGAAAATTGACATATTATTTACTATCCTTCAAGTGGTTTCAAACCTTTATGTGGATCTTTTTATCTACTGAACTTAATAGAAGATATTCTGAAGAAAGCCAGAAACGTTTTGCAGTTTTTTTCAAAATATCTTTTTTAGGTTCAGCAGAAGAAAGAAACTGAAACAGTTTTGTGCCAAGTGAAGGGTGAGTAAATGCTGACAGAATTCTCAGTTTTGAGTGAACGGTTTGTTTTTTCTGGGGTTAAAATGTTAGATCTTTCAGTCCTCTTGTTTAATGTGTTTATTGGCCACAAGAGCTGCGCTGCTGAGATAAACTAGCATGGAGTCTAACAAATAATCACATAATTTGGCTGTTCTTCAAAGTCTTATTTGGCCTTTGTTACTGATTCCAATCATAATACTAGAATGGCTCTTCTCTTAAGCAACATATAATATGTCTGTGTTCACATGTTTTACTGCTGCACAATGTTGGAAAAAATGACATTGCAATATTTTTTTCTGCGATATACAGTTTATTGTGACATGGAGTATAATTTCACCAGATAAAATGATTAGGTCTATTTGAAAAAAAAAAAAAATCATTTTATATACATTGTGATGATTTTGTAAGTGAGTGTCTACAAAGGAATATATTAAACCAATCACAAACATTGGGAAATACAGTAGAGCAGATATAATATAAATATGATTTTCTGGAAGTCTAGCAATATTCAGATATAGAAATGTAATAATACAATGTAATTGGACTGGATGCATTTCATGATAAAAAAAACACATAAATGATAAATGTTATGGTTAAACGTATATGGATCAAATTTATGGTTAAACGTTGCAATGACTCCACAAGTCATGAGTGTTGTCAAACGTGGCTACTGGTCAATTTTAATACTGATGTGACATTGCAGATCCTGTGATGTGACTAATATGCATGCGCACATTGCAATATCAATGCAAAAATTCCATATTTTGCAGGTCTATTTGTTCAAAATCAACTCTGATGTGATCTCTCTCTCTCTCTCTCTCTCTCTCTCTCTCTCTCTCTCTCTCTCTCTCTCTATATATATATATATATATATATATATATATATATATATATATATATATATATATATATACTGTATATAAAAATAAGCCAAACTGCAGTAGTCATATCACAGGATCTGCCATGTTGAGTTGGATAATAATAACCAGAAACCACATTTCAGAATGTAATTTGCTGTGTAATCACAAAGTTTAACCCTAACAGAGTGCAAGATTCCTAAGCCACTATAAATACCCTGCAGTATATAACAGCCATCTTCGTTTTGAAGAATACCCCCTTCCTCCCCTACTCCTCCTTCTTTCCTGGATGGGTGGCACAGTGGCCCAGTGGTTCGCACTATTCCCTCACAGCAAGAACATCACTGGTATTAGTCCTTACCAAGCCAGCCGGTGTTTCTGTGCGGAGTTTACACTTTCTCCCCATGCTCACGTGGGTTTCCCCCGGGTTCCCCTGTTTCCTCCCATCATCCAGAAACATGCACCTTAAGTTAATTATACAAATTGGCATCATAGACCTGCTCCTAGTAAGTAGTTATCTCTTAAGAGCAATCACTATCTGTTCATTGGCTACTACAGCAGGGAGTTCTTGAGATCCATCGGAGCTCAAACTCTCCTCTTGCCCTGCAAATGGGAGGGAGTTCCAGGCTTGAGGATCTTATGAGCTCAGGCCACTCTCCCGGGACAGGATGCCAAACAAGCTTTATAACAAATCATCAGCTAAGTTTGAACTCTTGAAAATGAAAACAATATATAACAATATGCTCTTGTGTACATCCAATAAGATGATCATATTATTCAATGAAGCTCTTGCCCATTGTGGGATGAATTAAATTGACAGCGTCTTCTTAACCTGCAACAACCTTCCTGCTTCATCTATTTCAGTCTCAATCTCCTCATGCTCTTCTCGTCTTGTTACTTAAAAGCTAATTAACCATCTGTGGCATTTAAATAATAATGGCTTTGACTGTTTAGGAAAGAGTAAAGGTACATGTAAGTTTATAATTGGGTAAACGTGTTTTTGTTTTTCACATTTATTCATCAAGTTCATGAAAAGTCACAGTAAAACTATTTTAAAATGTAAATTAGAATTAAAAAACAGCATGTTAGAAGGTCATGTCGATCTAACAGAACCCGAACCTATGAGCTATAAAGCTTTTTACTCTGTATGATTGCATCCAGAGTCATTTTTTGAAAAGTAATTAATCCACCACTGCTTAAAAACGTGTTATATAATATGAATGTGCGTATGCAATCTGGATATGTTATCATTATTTTGTGACCTAGCAGCATCGGTTACGTGACAAATCCTTTCCTGTGGCCTCATGGGAAGTAAAGTGTCCATCATATGCGCACTTCAGAATCTCAGAGAATGTAATACGTCATACTTTTGGACTGGATTTACTACAATATTTAAGGTAAGTGGTTGAAAACAATTTAAAGGGGTTGAATTTAAACAATCAAACTCAATTTAGTTATGTTCAACTTAATTTCTGTTTAAATCCAGCCCATATAAATTGTTTGCAAGCACTTACCCTAAAAATATAGTAAATCCAATTAATAATCTTTAATTACTCATTTTTCAGTGTTTTATTTTTATAAATACTGTTATAAATTTATTATTTATAAATCTGGCATATCTTTTGTCACATTTGCCCGCCTGCTATGTTGTAAGAAAGTATGCGATTTCCAATGTCAGTTTTTCTATGTGGACTTTTTCATAATCTAAGTTTATGCAATATCCCACATAATCCACAAAGAGCCATTTTATTAGAACATAACTATTAGGGGGTCTTTTTTGTTTTTACAATTATCTGCTAAACAGAAATATGTTTCAAAACACACACACACACACAAAATCAGACTCTTTTTGCTTTTTATGAAATATCACAGGTGCTCTTCCTTGTAGCCTAGCTGTCTTTTCCTTTTTAGGGGTTGTGTTTCCATGTTTAGTGTCTGTGTCAGCAAACCTGATGCCAGAATGTGCTCATTCAGCGAGTTTTGACCTATTTTTTTTAACTGTAATGTGGATAGAGACCAAGGATTTCCAGACAGATGATTGTCTTAACCTCTGAATGAAAGATCATGGCTGTCGGAGACCATGCAAAACAACCTTATTCCAACCTTAACAAGAGCTGTCAGCACAATTCTACAAAGATTCCTCCGTCCTGCGCCTAGAAAGTTGAGTTTATTAAAGACAGACTTTCCCCTGAAATGATCCAATGTGAAAGTCTTAGACCTCTGATAATCAGTTTTTCATTTGTTTTTTATTAACTGTTAATAAATTCTTGACTTTATTTATTTTAAATGTTAAAATAGACACTGGAAAAAAAACAAGTTGCTGCCTTGTATTTTTAAGTTGAATATAGTTAACTTTACTCATTCTAGTTAACTTTAGTCATTTAAACTACCAGTATATTACATTAAATTGACTTAAAGTTAAATTCATTCATTCATTTTTTCCCGGCTTAGTTCCTTTATTAATCTGGGGTTGCCACAGTGGAATGAACCGCCTAAAGTTACATTTATTTTAACATAAACAACGTAGGTGACGCATGATTTACTTATTTTAATAATTGTAAATAACACAAAAACATAATTTCTTTTGACTTTTTTCGCAATGCATTTAATATGTGTTTGGTCACACTTTGTAATAAAGTTTCATTAGTTATTGTTAGTTAACTTGCCGATGCCAAACGTCAATTTCAGTGGTACCAGCAGTGAAAATTTTGTGCTGTTGACAATGTGAAACATGTATTGCTTTCTGATGAGTCAAACTTCGCTGACCTTCCCATATCTGGGAGAGTTATGGTGTGGAGAAGCCCCAAAGAAGCGTACCACTCAGATTGGTGCATGCACAGAGTGAAGCATGGGGTGGATCAGTGATGTTTTGGACTGCAATATCATGACATTCACTAGACTTAATACTCATGCTAGATGGGAGTGTCATTGCCAAGGACTACTGAACCATTCTGGAGGATCATGTGCACTCAGTGGTTCAAACATTATATCCTGAAAACGGTGCCATGTATTAGGGCAATAATGCACCAATTCACACAGCAAGACTGCTGACAGAATGATTTGGATGAACATGAAAGTGAAGTTAAACATCTCCCATGGCCTGCACAGTCACCAGATCTAAACTTTGGGGTTTTTGCAGGAGCGAGTCAGGAAATGTCCTCCACCAACCTGGCCACTGTGCAGGACTTGTATCTGTCATTCCCAATATGAATTGGTGCTGGATTGGCTCCAAAAGGAGCTCCTACACCATACTAATGAATTACTGTAGTCTAAAACCAGGCTTCCAGTTTTTATAGTCTAACCCCTGTATATAAAATCACCACATAAATCTTACCTTTCTTTATTTCTTTATGAAATTTTTAGTCAAATTTTCCTTTTAAAAGTCTATAGTATACACACTAGTATCTTTTTTGACAGCATATAAAGCCATGAGGACAGACTTGGTCAGTCCACCTGGATGAGATTCTGGTGCTGTTCTTGCAGTGAATGTTCTTCCAAAAAGCAGATGGTGGAGTGTTGTGACTGTTTGTGTTCAATGAGACATCTGGTCCTCATCTGAAGTGTTTTGCTCTCTTTGTGGTACATGACGTTCTAGATGAGCCTGTGTTGAAGTACCTGCATGCGTATTAATGTTGAGATGTGACATCTTTACTCATTGTCTTATATGTCTGTCTTCATTCCTAGTACTCCTATCCAGTGTGGGAAGACTTCATCACAAAGGCCACCAAACTGCACTCCCAGCTAAGGTGATCTAACACTACAACACTTCTATTGTTTAATCATTTCATACAAGCCTCGTCTCAAATATCACCCTGGGTGGTTATAATGTTTTATTTTGATGACATTGATGCTAAATTGATACTTTTGAAGCAGTACTAGTGCCAGAACAGATACTTTTTGGAAAAATAGACTTATTTTAAAAGTCCTATAGATTTAAACGTTATCATTTCTGAATCCGTTTAGCTGATCTTTGGGTCTGAAGGGAGCACTTTTAGCTTAGCTTAGCATAAATCATTGAATCGGATTAGACCATTAGCATCTCAAAAGTGACAAAAAAGGAGTTTTAATCATTTTTCTTTTTAAAACTTACTAAGACTGATGGAAAATAAAAGCTATTTTCTAGGTCAAAATCTCTAGGAACTATACTCGCATTAAGGTGTAACAATAATGATAGAATCACAGTTTAACCTTTATATTTGAATCAAAACTGTGGTTATACTAATGATAACCCTCCAATAGCATGGTTACGACATTGTTACTATAATAAAGCCAATTTTAATTTTCATAATTTCAGATTGTTGGATAATACAATATGCCAGAGTAATGAAAAATTGAGCTCCCTATGAAACAAAAAATGACAAATGGGACAAACTCTTCATGGATGTACGTTGACCGAAGTCCACAAGAGCACTAGTCCGCATTTGGGACGTTCTCAAGATGTGAATCAGATTGATTTTCAACTGTTCTGTTGCTGTTCTTAATCAGTGCTGGCGCTGATGTCTGTAAATGTTTTGCTGTTTACTCTCTTGACAGAACCACAGTGTTGGCGACCGCAGCGTTTCTTGATGCGTTTCAGAAGGTGGCAGACATGGCAACCAATACCAGAGGTATTTTGGCAATTAAAATGTTAAGGGTTGCAATGATCGTTGTGACATTTGTGGGTTGAGGAAGGTTGTTGAATGCATTTTGGGTGACTGTAACAAACCTTGGTATTGATAACACAACCTAATCTCAGCGGAATTGTGGGTTGTTGTCTGATAAAAAATATGACTATGATTTAAAATGTGATTAAAAATGATATATATTGAATAAGTAAATAAATAAAATATATTTTTTTAATTCATTTTTCTTAAGGTTGCACAGTTTGGACAAAAAATTGTAATTTAATTTCAGAAATGGCTTAAATAATAAGCCATTAATAACAATATTATTATACTTTTTAAAGGTATAATCCTTACTATTAACAAACCATCGACTTTTACCACAGCAAACTCCCAATTTGCCACTTATTAATTTAGTTGTTATGTTTATATATTTGTGAGGTTAAAGATGTTGAATAAGATCAAGCAGAATCTGTACTTTATAAGTACTAATATACGGCCAATATCTTAATTATAGGCAGGTAATAAGAGAGATTGGTATTTATCTAAAGTTTTACCTTTATTAATTATAAAATATTAATATATTTTTACACAACAGAAATATGAAAACTACTGAATAAAGATGTATGGTAAAATAATAAAAAGATTACTTGTGAAAAAATAAATAAAAATAATTCTATTTTACATAGCAGCTGTAAAATTGGTTGTCTAAAACTCTGTTATGAAATCTTACACCATCAAACATTTATTCATGTGTCAGTTTCCGGGGCTGTGCAGTTTGCATATACCACATTTTCATATAAACAGTTCATATATCCAATCAAATCTCAGCCTTTGCAATTTAATAATTGCGGTTTTATCAGATATTATTATGAATACATCAGAAAAGGTCTCTTTGGCTTTTGTTCTGATAACTAGGAGAGTCATGTTTCATTAGAGCTGAATTGTGCTTCAGGCTGCCCGCTATTGGATCTTTGAAACCGAATCCTTCCTGTGCCATTAAAATCCTGCAGTTAGTGCCTGAAGGGAGCAGACGAGGCCGAACAGATCCAGTGTTGATCAGCACAGTTAAAGTCAGCCTGGAGCCTGCCTTTTTAAATTGCACCATATGTATATGCAGTAGATCTTTTTGCGTAGTTGTGGATTTGAATCTGTCATTGGACATTGGAGAAAAGGACCTGTTGGTTTTGTGCTAGCAGCTTCTGCATGCTTACAGCATTTGCAGAGGAGCTAAAGCGACAGGCGGACTTCAAAAACTGTGTTCTGAAATATCTGCTCTGTGTGTGGGAGAGAAATAATGATGGAGTTGTTTACTTTACACATTGGTTCATGATCTATGATTCAGACAATTTGGTTTGAATTCAGATATACTGGTTTGTGCTGGTCAGACAGGCTTAATCACAGCTGATATTTTTTCTAATTAGGCCGGAATATACAATTGAAGTCAGAATTATTTTATGATTAATTTTTATTTTATGATTAAGTGTTGTTTAACAGAGCAAGATAATTTTCACAGTATTTTCGATAATATTATTTCTTCTGGAAAAAGTCTTTTTTTGCTTGTTTGGTTGTATTAAAAGCAATTTAAACATTTTAAAATGTTTTTTAAATGTTAACATAGACTCATTTTGAAAACGTAGCCCTATATGCATTTCTGGAGATCGCAAATTATGTAGCCAGGAGTACGTATGGCTGCATTTCATCTTTAAAATGAACGTTATGCTGTTCCTTATCATATTGAGTTTAAATCCAGCGAAGAATGATTCCAGAAACATGTAAGACAAAAATAGAAGCCAAAAAATAAAATAAACAAGTAAATAACAGGGTGAGAATGAGGTAAAATCTGAAAACGTGGTAAAAATCAGACTTTTAATTTTCTGGATTGCTTTTTAAAACCGTCAGTTGTGGAAGTGGGTGGGCGGGTTAATCGATGCTTTTGAAAACACTATTGGTTGGGTTAAGGGAAGGAGAAGGGTGGGTCAGTCAACCGTTCAGTCAGTCAGTCAGTCGACAGCGACCTCTGGTGGATTTACGCAAGAACCTTCTGGGACATACTGGCACTCTTCAGAAATGTGTATATAGTGGTATGTTTTCAGAATGAGCCTGGGTTGCTTAAATTCAGTATTATTGGCCCTATTAAGAATGTTATTACTTTTTGATTGGCTACAAAACAAATTACTACTATCCAATGACTTGGATGAACCAAACTTGCCTAGTTAAACTTACAGTATTAGCTTGTTAAACCTTTAAATTGCACTTTAACTAGTATTTATACTAGTATATTGCAAAATTACTAGTAAAATGTCATCAAGAAAAAAGAACAAAATTAAAATTGTTATTAGAAGTGAGTTATTTAATTTTTAAAAAATGTGTTGAAAAAAATCTTATCTCCTTTGAACAGCATTTGAGAAATATTGGAAAAAGAATACAAATTAAAATGTTTATATTATTATTGATATTATTATTATTATAAAGTATTCTTTTTATTTCTTATTTTGAGCTTTAGGTTACGATACTTCCAAATTCATTCTGCATAAATCTGAAGATTTTTACCAAATTCTTAGCAGAAATAGCACAAAATGTCTGCAGATTCTGTCTGGCCCTAGTTAATACTAATACATATATAAATGAACTACTATTGTATATTTAATTTTTATATAGCATCTTAATAAAAATATAATAATAAAATACAATGCATTACAAGTGCAAATCAAGGTATTTTAAAGATTATTGGAAATTAGTAGTCATAGCCATTGGCAGGAAAATGTCAATGGCTATCAGTTTCCAACATTTTCAAAAATCTCTTCCTTCATGTTTAACATAATTAAAAAACTCCAACGCAATCTCACTGCAATTCGTAACATTTTGATTTAGTGGCTCATTCATATGAATTTGTACGATCTAATTCGTACAATTTAGTACGATTTGCTCATCACTCAATGTCGGTTAGGTTTTAGCATGGGGTTGGATGCCATGCCTCCATTTTAAAACTGTACGTCTCTGTACGACTGAACTTGCTTGTATGAAATTGCCACTAAACTGACAAAACGTAAATTACTTACATTTTCCCATGAGATCAGGCTGGAAACTCAGGTTTGGAACAAGTGTAAGATGAGTAAATCATGGCAGAGTTTTGTATGCGCTTTCTCAGCCACCCATCCAGCTTCACCCATGTGCCCGGTCCAGAATCATTCCCAGATGCCAGTGATCCAGACTGATTGCGTTTGTCCTGCGGGAGCGCTTTGTTCTGCTCTGGACTCCAAGCACACGGCGCTGCCATAAATGAGTTCAGTGAATGTCAATACTGCAGTAGATCTCTGACACTGGAGCACTTTCACCTCTGACCTCGTCTGCCTGTTCTTTATGACTCTGCATTCGTGTAAAACTTACAAGCAGTTCCACCATACACTGACATGTGTCTGAAGACCTCTGGGTAATCTCTCCCTGTTTTTAAGGCAAGACACTGCAAAATAAAAGAAAAACTTTTTTTTCAAGCACCTGATAACTTTATGCTTTTGGCCTTTTTGTTTTCCAAAATGCACTTCGTATTTTCTATGTTACACATTTCTTTACTTTATTAATTTGTGAGTGTAGATTTCAATTGCAGCTGACTGGATAATTTTAAAGTCAGTGTGAACCAGAAGTTGCTGAGACTTTTATTTCAGTATGTTATTGCACTTCCGACCGAAACTGAATATTGAGTAGGGGCGGGGCTTTCAATTTGTACATCATTCGCTAAATAGTGTATATTCACTATATAATAGCAAACTAACGGTAAAAGGGGCGTGGTTAAGAATATTGTAGCTGAAGCCGTCAAACTGACTTCATCAGAGAAGGAAATGCCGAGAAGACATACTGAAGACTACAAAAACAAACTTTTTTTTATTGAATTATTTATGCAGATTAATTGTTCACTTTAGGAATTCAGTGTGTGCTAGCAAAATTAACATTGTACTTTTTGATTTCACAGACTATTTTCTCAAAAGAAATCTTCTGCAGCACTTACACACACACATACACACCAAACTTTACAGTTTTATTCATATCTACACTCAACAATATACTGTGTTAAAAAACCTAACTTGTGTAATGATTTGGCAACCCAGATAAATATTGTGAAGAGTAAATTCTGGACAGAACACAAGCTGGGTTGTTTTTTTACACAGCTTGTTGAGGTTTATACATTAAACCATTTGCTAGGTTGTTTTTAGTCAGTCCTGGGTCAAACAAATCCGTTTTTAGGTTATTCAGTTTAGCCAATAAATATATAATAACAAAAAACTGTACTGTTTATTGATTCAGTTCAAGTGTCTATTACAAGTTAATAATATAATCATAATTACATTTATCATGTTTAATGCACAATTAGTCCTCTGTAGCTTAAATGTCTGTCTAATAATCTTAAGCATTTTTTCAGATTGACTCTTCATATGGGTTAAAATAATAAAAACAACCCAATTAAAATAACCCAGCATTTGGGTTTAAAAAAAAATAATCCAATATTTATTAGAGTGTACATTCAGAAAGTTTGTACCGAGGGAATTGTTCATAGGTAATGTGTCTGATTACATGTGTCTGATTACATTTCATTCTAGAAAATAAAGAATTAAAAATTATTTTAGTATTTCAGAATTTTATGGGGCAATTAAAAGCATTTCTGTAAAAAATGTTTGATGTAGAGATGTCAAAACATCCATCGTTCGTTAGAATTGGGTCGATAGATGATGCCATTGTCCATCGCTGATGGCCAATAGACATCATGTTGCTGAACTGGCATCGTGATCCTCCACCCTGCCCCCGTTGCAGCAGCAACCCGCTCGCAAAAAATACACAAGACCCCGTTTACACTTATACGTCTTATTTTTAAAAGGGAATTTTAGAACAAAAATGATCGACTTCCACACTTGCGTTTTCCCTAGCTTTTCTGAAAAGCCCTCCTTTCACACAATACCACTGAAAATGCACATCATGTGACCACACACATATACTCTGTCATGCGCTGCAGC